ACAGCACGCACTCCCTATATAGGAAAAGTGATACGGGTACATGCGATTTCCGAATTTCAATGACAGTATCGCTCCACTACGCAAACAGTGCTCACCGCGAGTCCTCTTGACGGACTTATACACGCAATACAACCCCACGCAAACAACGAAAACGCAGATTCCTAGTCCTTCAAGGCCCAGGTGCATTGCCATCGTCAAATGAGCTCTGCAGTCAACTGCAGGACAGAAAAAACCAACGCACGCTCTGTGCACGAGCACGCTGGCCGTAACAGGAATTACCGATAAACCTAGGCTGCTCCACTCTATTTTCTTTCCTCGTTGAGCTCCACACAACACTCGCCCAGATAAGCAAACGGCGCAAAAAATCAGCTTCCTCAGGTTATGGATGAGTCGAAGCCCTAAACCAACTCCTCCCATACCACACCATAAATCCATCTCAGAAACGCACGTCCTGCAAAGCGAACACACGTGGCGGGAGAAAAGAATAATTTCCCCCTGCATTCCCCTTCACACAAATAGCAACAATGCATCGCGCAGTCCCTTCGACGTTATTAACGCCCAGTCTGTCAGCCGTCCGTCTCTACGAAGTTTTGCCTTTCTGGTGCTACATGCGCATCACACTCGCAGCGTGCACATCAACAGTGCCGCTGACTCAACGTGCTTAACTAGAGAGCAACTAACACGTACTTCCTACAAATAATCAACGCAACCGGCGCATCTAACCGGAACAATCATTCCGTCGTCCAACATCCACGAAAGCTCTGCGCAATACTGAAAGACGATCCAACACAGTCCATCACATGCATTTTCCCAAAATACAAAATGGCTAGTGCATGGTTAACATTGTGAAAGCGCGTCCACTACGTGATTCTAGAACTTCCACTTCGAAGACGCACTTCCTGCACGTTGTAATTCCAGGACCGCCTATAGCTATCTGATTGCCTCGGACGTCCTCGTCCGACACCGCTTGACGAACGGACACACGCAGCACACTCCCACGAAATTCATAGACCCTCAAAGCAGAGTTGCAACGCCATCAATCAGAGTTGCAACGCCACCGGCAGATGACCTATGCAACCAACACCACTACAGAACAAACAGCCACTTACGCTCTGTGCCCCAATGCCCAATGCAT